GACGGAGGGAGTTTTTGGTGATTTCAAGAAAGCTTCAAAAATCGCCAAAGAGGCTAAGGCTAAACTTCATGCTTTGGAAGAAGAAAATAAATTTTTAGAAAATGATAATCTTGACCTTAAAAATAAGATTAAGGAAATGAATGAAGCTTCTTCCTTTGACCAAAATTCTACTTGTTCCTCTTGTGAGTCTTTAAAAATAGAGAATGTAGAACTTAAGAGCACCATAGAGAATGTAGAACTTAAGGTAGAAGAGCCTAAGAAACTTGGTGAAGAAGTTAAGAATGATAGACCACCTAGAAGAACAAATTCTAGGAATAACAAAATTAATTTTAGAAAGAATAAAAATAATAAGTTGAGACAACCTAGAAATGACTATAAGATTTTTATAAATGATAGGAATAATTTGAGACAACCTAGAAATGAGTCTAGTAACTTAATTAATAATTCTAGGAATAATGACTTTAGATCACCTAGAAATTGTTTGGCTTAACCTATGCATATGCATAATCCAAATGTGTTTGCCATTATTGCTTTAATATAGGACACATAGCACCTGTTTGTTTTACTAAACACATGGATTTGTTTTATAGCTATGATTATTATTTGCCTAACCCTTAAGGACCCAAAAGTTTTTGGGTACCTAAAAATAATTTTTAGATGCATATGTAGGTGTGTTTGAAGACTACATTTTTATAGTGAATGCTCCAAGCACGAAACCTAATGAATTGCATCAAGGGGAGATGGGGGAATTGTTTTTGCTATAAACATGGTATCAGTTTCAGGAGGATCATACAACAATGATTTTTTATATGAAACATTAATGCTCAAGGAGTACACTTTTTAAACTTTATTTAGTGCTTTTTGCTAATGCCAAAAGGGGGAAGTGTTTGGGTATATGCAACAAGTGAGGGGAAATATTGTTTTCAAAGACGTAGGGGAAATTACCATTACTCTCTCTTTGAAAGCCCAACTTGGCCTGCATATCCCCTCCTTGGTTTGTCATAATCAAAAAGGGTGAAATTGTTAGAAAGCCTTTTCACATTGATGTTTTATTAATGGAAATGCTTGTTTCCGTTTAGGTTTTTGTTAGCCTTGGTTTGCTAAGCCTCATATTTTGATGTTAACAAACAATATAAGAGCTAAACATTTGTTTAAGTGTTTCAGGTAAAACAAGAATCCATTAAGATTCGGTACTCAAGAACGAAGTCGAAACACTAAACTAGCGTAGAATATAGGTAGAAACCGATGTAAGGATATGACTTTATATACCTATATTCACAAGCTCAAAAGCACTCACAAAATATGTTTAAAACCATCCCATAAACATTTTCAAACATCTAAAAGGTTTTAAACTCAAACACGAAAGATTAAGGGAATTTTGGAAAAATCAGGACAGTGGCACGGTAACCCTAGCGGTACCCCAAACGGTAGGGTATACCGCCTACACAGTACCCCCATACCGTGTAACGGTACCTAGGTACCACATGGTAGGCGTAGAGGTTGGCCCAACCTGTCCTAACCAGGTACCGCCAGAGCCGAATGGATTTTTGGTGTTACACGGTACCGAGGTACCGCCACTCACGGTACCCCCTACCGTACGCACGGTACCATGCTACCGTGTGGACGGTATCGGCCTACCGTGACCGTTGGGTTACTGTTCCTGATTTGAGATTTTGAATTAAATCAACCCTAATCACCTCCCAACGGCTAATTAACATCTTCCACTATAAATACAAGCCTATTCCTTCATATTTCTTCAAGAAACAAAGCTCTAAACATCCTCTCTTTTTATTCTAAGTGTGTTCATCTTTTTATTAATTATTTTCAATATTTTGGCTATTTTAAGCGCATTAAATTCCTGATTTTTATACACACACCTTGAGCTTGTGTTTCTAGTTATATACTCTCATATTCATAAGTTTGAATTGTATTTTGAGAGAGTATACTTTCCTTCTACACCGGCTAAGTTTTGTTCTTCATTTTAAAATTCTAGCCGTTGTGTAGAATCCTTGATTGTGTTCATCAAACACACTTTCTTACGGTCGAGAATAGTCGTTAAATTCTCACGTTGTAACGGTTGAGGATAGCCGTAGAAATCCTTGGGTAAAGGTTCAAGGATAGCCTTTGAAATCCTTAGGGGAACGGTAGAAGATAGCCATTAAATCTTCGTTGTAAACGGTTCGAGATAGCCGTGGTGAAATCTCGGAGTGAATCCTATTGGCAAGGGTTGTTTGCCAAACTAGTGCGGTGCGTTGACGGAGTTCAAGAGACCGGGACTTAGTGGATTCGGAAATCCTCTAGGAGGAGCCTTGAGGTACTGGAGTAGGATGTTCCCGAACCAGTATAAAATCGGTGTGCATTTTATTTACGCTTTTATTTTTGCGTTTTATATATTGCTTCCGCATTTGCCAACACCGTTTTTATTAAACCCTGAAAAGATTTTAAAACGCCTTATTCACCCCCCTCTAAGGCGTGGGCACAACGACTAAACCGACTAACAGTTTTGATATTGACAAACCGTCGGGAACTTGGGACAATATGAAAAGATTCAAAGTCATAGGAAAATCTCTTTGAAGGAACAAAAAGCACAAGAAAGGCATTGACATTTCTAAAGACGACGACATTGGCGTTTTGAAGACGTTGTCTAAATACTTACGTTTTTATTGTAACAAGCTCATTGAATTTCTCTAAGTCATGGCTCAAAAAAAAATATGTTTTTCATGCATCAAATGAGTTTTTTCATAAATGGTTTTAAGTTTCTAAAACCCTTGGTTCTTGCCCAACCAAAACCATATCAATCGGTTATCGGCGTTCGGCTATGGCGTTCAGTTTTCTGTATTAGTTATTGGCATTGATTTTAGCCAAATTGGTTTTTGGTTTTTATCTTTTGTTTTTGCTTCAGAATACATTTAAAGGTTTTCGAAATGATTAGTTTTTAAAAACCATAACCTTTGTTTTCCGGCGTTGGTTATCGGCATTCAGCGCTGGTTATCATCGTTGGTTTTTGGCGTCGAAATCAATCAAGTGGTTTTTAATATATTATGATTGGTTTTTATTCTGGGCATATCCAAATAGTTCTTGAACAAAAACATGTTAAAAACCACCTTTTGTTTTTGATCTTTTGGTGAAAACCATGTGAAACGGCATAAACTTGGCTAGCCATGGCTTTTACCTTAATGACGTGGTTTTTAAGTTTTTATACCTGGTTTCTACATAAAATATATTATATAAGAGTTTCAAACACTTCATTTTAATTTTGGAGAACTTTGGTTTTTGACATCGGTTTTCGGCGTTGGCTGCCAAACCAGCCCAATAGTGATGTTGGATTTCTCAACAGCGATGTTGGCATTCTGAGTTTTTGGCAGTAGGGTTTTGAACATCGATGTTCATTGGTGAGCAGAAATGCTGTCAAATGACCGATGGGCTATCTAAGACAAAATCTTTCCATTTTTGAAAGTCAATCACCCCAACATCGATGTAGACTTCTAAACATCGATGTTTTGATGACCGTTAGCCATTTTTAAAGGAAAATCAAAGCCAAAACAGCGATGTTCACTATATGAACATCAATGTTAGGCCAAAATTCTGTAGACCAACTTTTATTTGATTTCCACAAATTATGCCATTGAACCCCAATCAACTCCCATCCATTACACATCATTTTTGGGTATAAATAGGGGTCTACATTTTACAACCATTCCTCACACATTTCATAGCTTTACATTGCATCATTCCATAAACTTTTTACATAGCTTTTTAGAGCCATTTCTTGAGGAATTGAGTGTGTTCTTGATCTAAGTTAGGTTACTCATATTCTACTCTTTGAGAGAGTTTTTTTCTTGAGTGGTTATGTGTTGTGAACACTTTAAGGAAGGTTTGTTTCCATGGTTGTACGAAGGAAGGGAATATTCCTCCGGGTTGAAGCCTTGGAGTGCGGTATCTCCGAGCAAGTGTATTGAGGTTCGTGGGACTCGAGTTCTCAGGTTGTAATAGTTTGTTAAGAACCCGTAAGCTTAACGGAAGTAGTGTAGCTCGAGAAAGTCACTCGGGAGGCTGGACTAGCCACACGTTGTGGTGAACCAGGGTAAAATCAGTGTGCCTTCTTCTTACTCTTTATTTACGCCTTTAAATTTTTTATTCCTGCGATATTTCGTTTCAAACGCTATTCACCCCCCCCCCCTAGCGTTGGGACTATAACCTCTAGCATGTATTTGTACCTCTTTTCATTTTGATACTATGAATTAATAAATGCATTCTTCCTTTCAAAAAAGCTAAAAGTTATTTACATAATTGAGTACTCATACTCCCTCCGTCCCTAAAGGATTTTCTCTATTTACTTTTCATTCTTTCCAAAAGTCTTTCTTTACTTTCTCTCATCCCAAAAGGTTTTTATTTTTTGTTAAAAAGTCATTTTTACCATTAATTTTTACCATACCTATCGCACTATATATTCATTTACTACTGATTTGTCTATCACATCTTACTTTCACATATCACATCAAAGGTAATTTTTAAAGTCAAAACAAAAATATTTTTTCTTTAATTTTTGTAGAATTTTGGAACAGCGATTGTTGGAAACAATCTTTTATTATAACTGGAAAATTACTCAAAACAAATTACAATAAACTCTCATATGTTTCTCATATCATAACCAAAGCTTGGCTAAGATATATATATAGACCTAATTAAGCCTAGGACCCATAATTCTATTCCTACTCGAACTAGAATATCTTGGGTTGGTACTCCTAATTTTTGATGAATTAAGTCAAAAATTGCAACAGCTTTATTATGACTAATGGGAAATGACGAACGAGTTTGTTTCGATAGAAAACAAATATCACAACTTTGTAACTTTTGAACAACGGAACTATTTTTATGAAGTAACGATGTAACTTGTGGAGACGGATGACCCAGACGCTGATGTAGAAGGTGAGGGTTGACAATGGTGTTATGGGCAGCGGCCTGATGCCTGAAAAGGAATACTCCGTTGCGCAGCTCACCCCGTCCAATCTCCGTCTGCGATAAAGGGTCCTGTATTACACAACTTTGATAAGTAAAAAGTACATGATAAGTATTTTGATGGATAAATCTCCCAACAGATATCAAATGGCAATGCAAAGTAGGCACGTATAAGATGGTAGTGAGTAACAGAGTAGGAGAAAGGCGAACTTTCCCATGTTGGTTTGCCTCAATGCTAGAGCCTGGTAGATTGATTTTACATGGCGGTATGGGTTCAATGTCAAACATATGGGACAAGTCACCCGTCATGTGGTGTGAGGCCCCGCTATCGAACAACCAATCATGAGAAGTAAAAGTCTTACCATTGTACCGAGTGGCATTGGATGATTAAGCAACGACATGAGGCGGGCCATTTGATCGCTGAGATTGGGGCTTGAAGTATCGTTGGTTGCAGCGTGGGCGACACCAGTGTTGTTGCCGACGGCTGTAGCACCTCGGCGCCCTCCTCCACGTCCGCCAGTGTGCGGCGCTCGGCCCCCGGCGCTGCCTCCACGTCCACCTCTAGCTGCGGATGGTCCTTTGTTGGCGGCTAGGTGTGTATAATGCGCCAGAAACCCAACCGGTTCATAGCAAGCGTCAACGTTGTGGTTTGTACGGCCATAGTGTGTGCAGAGAAGTTTCTCCGAAGGTGGAGGAGGTAGTGTGATCCTGTCGCCGCGGTGAGTTGCAAATGCCATAGCATCGATTTTATCATCACGGCTGTGAATGATTGTGCGATGGCGTTCTTCTTGTGACACGAGATGAAAGGCTCTATCCAAATCTTGTATGGGTTCAGTGCCAAGGAGGTTTGATCGTAGATGACTGAACTGATCATCATCTAATCCAAGTAGGAAATCAATTGTCTTTTCTCGTTCGAACTTAGCCCGTGTCATAGTGGCGGCTACACATGTACAACCCCCGGCAGGATCGCCGGTTCCATGCAGTTGATTCCATAGTGTTATGAATTGATTGTAATATGCAACCACGGTTTGCCCCTTTTGTCGTGGTGCATTCAACTCTGTTTTTAATTGGTAAATACGAGGCCCATTATAGGTACTGTACCTCTTTTTCAGATCGGACCATAAAACTGAAGCAACGGAGTGGGAGACGATACTTGGCTGAATAGACTCATCCACGCTATTAAAAACCCAACTACAAATGATATAGTTGTTTGATTCCCAAGCGGCGAGTTCTCGTTCATCTTTAGGTTTGGGAACACCATCTGGTATTAAGAAAATAGTCTTGCCACAACCCCCAATGCATTGCGTATGGCTTTTTCCCAAATCTCATAATTATCACTTTTGAGCAAATATTTAGTGAAGGCATTACCCGCATGTTCTGATGGTGACGCTGTGGACAAACTGATCTGCTACAAATTGATCTCAATTGGGCGCTGGTGCTGGGACGCTGTGTTCAAAATCTCAAGTGGACGGACTGCTACAGGGGACAGATGAACGGACGGTGATGGACGACGGATCTGTGTTGCTGCGGATTGTTGCAGAAAACAGAGCAGACGAACTGATCTTCTGGGACAGATCTGCGTTGCTGTAGATTGCGGGCAACGCTGGACGACGGATGGACGGTGGTGGATGAGACCTCGCAGACAGACAGACGTCGATGAATCGACCTGTTGGCGATGGACGAACGAACGGTGCTCGCTGAGGAAAAGGGACGGACGAACGGACGGTTGCCACTAGGAAAGATAGGCAAGCTTAGGGATGTATAAGCTCCCATACCACGTAGAATTTTGGAATTGAATGACTTGCTTTATTGATACAATTTACATGTATATATATAACAATAGTTTCCAAAACATACTAGGAAACATATAAGAAATCCTACTTCTATAAGGAAACAAATTAATACGGAGTATAAGATATGTACAAACATATTCCAATAATTTTTTTTAACGTCTTAAGGAGAAAGAAATTTTAGAGACAGAAAAAGCATTATTTTGAGCCTTTAATTGAAAAAAAAACCTAGAGGTACTACAAGTTGGTGTACCCCACATGTACACTAGCTTGTACCTGACACGTATAAACACCAACTGTCTGTGTGAACACAGACAGTGGATGTCTGTGTGAGTCTATGAGAAGGTTGTGTACCCCTCGCGTACACCACCTTGGGGTATCCCTGGCTAAAAATTTGTAAAAAGTTGATAAAGGATGTACTACCTCCGTTCTTGAATATTTGTCCAGTTTTGACTTTTTCCGATCAACAGTTTTTACCTTTGATTTATAATTAAATAAAATATATATTGTATTTTAATTAAGTAAAATAATATTTTGAAAATATTTGATATAATAAATCTAATAAAACACTTTTTATATCAATATCTAATATCATTTTTATTTAATTTGAGGTCAATTTTTACCAATTTTAACCAAAAAAGTCAAAAGTGGACAAATACTCAGAGATGGAGAAAGTATAAATTTTTTTTGGGCAAAAAGTTGTACCCCATATATTTAATTTATGGGAGTATATATTATTCCGCATTTATTCGAATATTTTTTATCTACTTTCTCGTCTGAAATTATTATAACGAGGCTATCTTTATTTTTTTAAATTCATTTTATTTGTACGAGGTTTTAATATAAAATTCATATATTAAAATAAACAAACTCATGTTTTCAATAAAATTAAGAATGACACAATTATATAATTTTAACAAATGATAGACAAAATGAGAAAACTTTTGTTTATCATTGAATAATACTTTCTTTGTCAATAAATTTTCTTTCCTTTGTTTTTTACGATCTCCAATATAATAATTTGATCATTAATATTTATTTTTATGTACAAACATATATTATAAAAATTTAATATTTCAAAATTAATTTAATGATATTAAATTTATATGATAAATTAATATATTTTTCATAACTTGTAATTAAAATTTAAAATGTTTGACCAACAAAATTAAATTTTTGGGAGGAAAAGGAAGTAACATAAGAGAAGATTAACCCTATGTTTGGATGGAGAGAATTTGGAGAGAAAGAAAATTAGGAGAGGAAAGCTCATTTTTTAATATTTTTTTCTCTCCTTTTCGTTGAAGAGAAAATGGAGAGGGAAGAGAAAAGGGTAAGTGGGTAAGGAAAAAATTTTCTTGGTAAGGTGGTAAATGAAGGGATAAGAGATAAAAAGTGTCATAATTATTCTTTTCTCCTTAGGGCACTGAAATTATACCTAATGCCCATGCACAATATCCACGTTTTAATGCCATGGGGGCATTAAACACTGTTTCCATGACTATTATCATGGCGTTAAAGCCACCGCGTTAAACCTTTGATGCTACAAAGGAGTATATTTTATTCCGCCTTTATTCAAATATTTTTTTCTACTTTCTCGTCTCAAATTATTGAAACAAGTTTGTATTTATTTATTTTTTTAATTCATTTCATTTGCACAAGTTTTTAAAATAAAATTCATATATCAAAACAACTAACTCAAATTTTTAATAAAATTAAGAATGAAACAATTATATTATTTTAACAAATGATAGATAAAGTGAGAAATTTTTTTACCATTGAATAATGCTTCCTTTCTCAATAAATTTTCTGCCTTTTAGCTTTTTGTAATCTTCAATGTATTAATTTGATCATTAATATATTCTTTTTAAATACTAGCATATATTATAAAAAAATTAATATATCAAATTAAATTTATTGATATTAAATTTATATGATAATTATATATATATATATATATATATATATATATATTCCATAATTTATGATTAAAATTTTAAAAGTTCGACCAACAAAATCAAATTTTTGGGAGGAGGAGAGAGTACTATAAGACAAGATTAATACCAACAATATTATAAAAAAATTTAAAAGTTCGACCAACAATATTATAAAAAAATTAATATATCAAATTAAATTTATTGATATTAAATTTATATGATAATTTAATATATATATATATATATATATATATATATATATATATATATTCCATAATTTATGATTAAAATTTTAAAAGTTCGATCAACAAAATCAAATTTTTTGGGAGGAGAGAGTACTATAAGACAAGATTAATTCTATGTTTGGATGGAGAGAATTTGGAGAGAGAAATTTAGGGAGAGGGAAACTCATTTTCTAATGTTTTTCTCTCCATTGGATTGAAGAGAAAATGAAGAGGGAAGCGAAAAGGGCTAAGTGGGTAAGGGAGAAATTTTTCTTGGTAAAGTGGTGAGAAAATGAAGGTATAAAAGAGAAAAGTGTCATAATTAGTCTTTTCTCCTTAGGGCACTGGAATTACACCCAACGCTCCTATGTGTTATCCACATTTTAACTCCATGGGGAAAACACTTCTCCCCATGACTCTCATCATGGTGTTAATGCCACTGCGTTAAACCTTTGACGCTACAGAGGAACATTGCCACTGCGTTAAACCTTTAATGACCTAATTTTTGGTCGTTGGCCAACTATATATAAAATTAATTTTTCAACTTTAAATACTTCTTTTTTTCAAAAATATACACGCAACATATTCTCATTCTCTCTATAATTCATCCAAAATTTTTTATTTTTCATTGTCTTGATGGGCTGTTACCAATGGTGGCAACAAGCAAAGCAAGAGGAAGCGAAACTGTCCCATCGCTTGATCCGATGTGAGCTTTTAAACCGTGATCAGGCGGGGCTGCACACGAAGTACTACTCAACAACTACTTCAATACTCTGTGTGTTTACACACCGTAAGATATTAGTAATCGTTTTCGGATTGAGTCGTTCTTTGTTTTTCCGCATACTCGCCGATATTGAACCCGAGGTGCCCTTATTCACTCAACAATTTGATGTTAGAGGTCGACATGGTTTTAGTAGCGTCCAAAAGTTGTATTTATAAATTTTCTATAGAAATTATTCAACTTTATCATAAGAGGTATTCACGTAAGCCAACGGCGAGCGGCATTGACAAGTTACAGGCTACACATGCCGCTAAACATTGCTTTGTGGGCATGCTTGGGAGCATCAACTGCATGCATTGGGAATGAAAAAATTGTCCCATTGCATGGCATAGTCAGTTCTCTCATGGTGATCATCTTAAGCCTACTCTTATGCTCGAAGTTGTGGCTTGAAATGACTTATGACTTATGCATGCTTTTTTTGGTGTTGCGGGCTCGAACAACAACAGCAATGTTCTTGATCAATCACCTGTGTTTGATGATTGGGTTAATGACCTCGACTCATCTTTTCAGCTTAGAGGTAGGCATTACAAGCGTGGATATTATCTTGCCGATAAAATATTTCCAGATTATTCCACAATTCTCAAGTCCCTCTTGAAACTAATCGGTCTTAAACACTGCCAGACCTACAAAAAGCTCATGAGGTTGCGAGAAATGATATCGAACGAGCCCTCGGGGTGTTGAAGGGTAAGTGGCATGTAACGCCCCAAAAATAGGCCTATCAGAGTTAAATAATTTATAATTAATTAATTACTGAGAAGGACCCAAAAATAAGTAAATTCTAAAGTTTGTCAATAAATAATGAAAATCATATCATTATGTAGAGTTTGACTGTCTGACCCCAACGGTTCAATCGGATTTCAATTTGGAGAAAGTTGGAACAAAAAGTGTACCCCAACTGGGACCAAAATTAGTCCCAATCAGGGACTACACACCAAACGGCGCCCTGTTCAATTACGCCAATTCCAAATCGTCGCTCAATCACGGAAGCTGCAACCCATGTCTTCTTCCTTCCTCACTTGGCTATTTAAGGACAACCCAACTCCCTCATTTCATCACCAAAACAACTCATTCTTCCTTCTATATTGTTCCTTGCTGAGAGTAGAGTGCAGTGGTGCTGTCATCTTTGTGTAAGGTCGCCGGAGCAGTGAGATAGAGTCGCCGGAAGGTTCGCCGGAAA